CGGGGGTCCGCGACGTGGGGCGCATCTACGCCACGCACATCAACGCCCCCGAGCCGGACCGGGGCCATAATACGTGTGCGGCCAAGGTGGTGTTTTTTGAGCGGGCGGCTGCGGGTATGTTTTTTATTCTTTCTTCTTTTTTCTTCTCCGTTGAAAAGTTCGGGTGCTGATGGTTTACAGAGCGGTTTTACGACCACTACGCCCCCACCGGCTTCGCCGTGCGCACCCAGCCCACACACATCGGCCGTGTTGTGTGGAATCGCATCCGCTCGGCCGAGCTCGATGTCGGCGGCCGCAAGTCGCGCGTGCTCGTCATCAGCGGCCCGCCGGGCATCGTCAACGAGCGGGCGCTGCGCGCCTACTTCGCGACCAAGATCCAGTACCAGGTCGACGAGGTGCGCGTGCTGCGCAGCGGCGTCGGGGGCCAGGGCGGCAAGCTGCCCCGGGGCGTCGTCGGTCAGGGAGCCCCCACCCCGGTGAGAGGCGGCGCGGCGAGTCCCCCGTTCCTTACCAGCGGCGGCCTGAGTCCCTTTGCGGTGACGCCTGGCGGCGCGGGCGGGCAGGTGGTGCCTCACCAGGCGAGCGCGGGCGAGGATAGGGCGCTCATTGAGTTCCGGTTTGGGAGCTATCGCTGCCAGGCTGAGTCGGCGCGCATGGCGCTGGCCAGGGAGTTTAAGGAGTTTGGCGTGTTTTGCGAATTTGGTGAGTCTACCCTACCTTGTCCCTTGGCTCATTGCTAATACCATGCTCCCAGGCAGGGACCCTTGCGATCGCACTCCGGCCGTCATGACTTGGGGTGCCACCCCGAGCCATATCTAATAATGGCGTCTTTGCGTTCAGGTTGGCCATATTCTGGATGTTTATTTAGCATCTTCCATGAGCCTCGGAGTTGATTACAGTGGGGATTGGGGCAATTGGATTACTAGCAAGTCGGAGAGCTCGCTCTCCTCCTACTAATACGATTGATTTGCATTTCATTTGGCAAAAGGAGGAGTGTGTGTTGGGCTCTGAAGAAAAGGCTTGTGTTTATGCTCATTGTCTGGAGTAGTTTGAGATCATGTCTGTTTGAGATCATGTCTGCGCATCTGGCAGGCGCGCACCGGTCTGCCAGTCAGGGATTGTTGGTTGGCCATGAGACTTGAGTTGAAGCTGTGGCAGGAAACCTCGGTATGTTGCTTCCCGGAACCTGGGTTTTGGTGCTAAATAGCGGCTCGTTGTCCATCTGGTAGTTTTAGGATGAGAATTTGTCTTGTCCTTTAAGTTGTTAACCATAAAAATAACAGAAATGGCCTTTGAGTGACCCTTATGTTCGCCTTCTGACTGGTGCATCAACAAGTAGATGCGGCCTTATCAAGCTTTGGAAGAGAAACCACATGATGCTTGGCTAAATCCCCGAAAACAGGAGGTGCGAATAAAACTCGCCATGCGGCACAGGTCTGGACGCCTCATTCATCATCTCAAGCCTTTCCCCAGATTTCGATTGATGGTGGCGGTGGTTGTGGCTTGTTGGTGTTTGATGCCAGCGACCTGCGACGGTAGTGACGTCATAGCTTGTGTGGGAAGCTGCAGCTCCCCTCGCTATGATGCTGTCAACCAAAGGAATAGCAAAGAATGATGGCACATGTTTGTGTTCTCCTTTCCAGGGGCAGCCCAGCACCAATCACAGTGCGGGAGGTGGCTACTCACAGCTGCTGGCGTTGGAGGCAGGAGGCGCAGTTACGTCATGGATGGCGGACCGTTCTTTCCTGAGCGATCAACATGTGCTCTCCCGTACCACCAGCTCCTGCCAGCTGAGGGCTGCAACTTAGCAACAGAATCCGATGGAATTTCCAAGTAAATAATTGGAGTAAGCTGGTTGTGTCAGCTGGCGCGGTAGGGCGCGAGAACCCCTTTGTGGTGACAGTCTAGCAGCAGTGACGTCCTCCATCCCCCGTCGTGCCTGCCCGCCTTGACCACTCCTAGCTCTCAAAACATCGTCATATCCCTCTGCCACTCGCAACTTTTTTTCCCCACCAGAACAAACAAAACCTCTCCTCCCCGACTTTGGTTCTTCCATTCTGCCAATTTCTACACAAGTCTTCAGAACCACCGCGACGACATCAACTCCCAACATTGGCAACAACAATACCACCCATCGCACACACCAACCATGAGGATCGCTACGGCCCTCGTCTCGTTGGCCCTCGGCGCCAACGTCGTCTTAGGCAGCTCTTGGTTTTCCAATGCTGGTGAGGACTCGCACACTAGTGACCAGCAATGTTGCACGCTGTGGAGGTGTAGCTAACCTGTTTGCCCAACAGCCTACAACAAGTGGCATGAGACCGAGTTGGAGCGATGGCTTTCCGACCACGACGTTCCCTATCCCACCCCCGCCGACCGTAAGAGCCTTGAGAAGCTGGTCCAGGCCAATTGGGACACCTACGTCATCACACCCTACCAGGACTGGGACACCGAAAAGCTGAGCGAGTACCTGAAGCTAAAGGGCATTGAGACCAAGGATTCGGCCGCCGCTAGCAAGGACACGCTCATCAACCAGGTCCAGGGCGCCTGGTACGAGTCGGAGGACAAGACTCAGAGCGCCTGGACCAACGTCAAGGACTGGATTCTCGACTCATGGACCGACAGCCAGCTCAAGGCCTTCTGCGACCACCACGGAATTCCTGGTATGTTTGTCGTTCGAGTTGTTTGTGAGTAGAAAATGACTCGTCTAGTTCCCCAACCTCGCAAGCGCGACACCCTCCTTCAGAAGGCGCGCAGCAGCTACGAAACTGTCGCTCAGAAGGCCGGCGAGACCGTTGCCTACCCGGGCAACTGGTTGTACGAGTCTTGGACTGGTGAGTATTTCCCTGTTCCCTGTGGCCATGATGGTGTCTGTCTAACATTTTTGCAGAATCTGATCTCAAGGAATGGCTTGATACCCATGGCATCCCCGCGCCCCAGCCTACAACAGTAGGCTGATCATATTGACTTTTACTTTGCCCACACGCTAACACATTCCAGCGCGACAAGCTCATTGCTTCCGTCCGCCGCAACTCTCGCCTCGCCTACCTGAGAATGCAAGAGCAATCGGAGGCCGCCAAAGCCAAAGCTCAAGGAACCTACGATTACCTAACTGATAAGCTTATTGACTCATGGAGCGAGTCTCAACTCAAGGAGTTTTGTGACAAGAACAGCATCTCTGGTGGGTTTCACTGATTGCCGCTCTCGAGGCATTTGCTAACCAAAACAGTTCCCCAAGGCACCAAAGTCAACCAGCTCCGCGCTCTCGTTCGCAAGCACCGCGCTGAACTCCTTGGCGATACTGTCTCTGCCACTGCTGCCTCGGCATTCGGCGCCGCTACTTCGAACGTCGGATCCGGATACTCCAAGGCTACTGATGCCGCGTCGCAGACTGCCGAGGATGCTTTCAACCAGGTCATTGACACCTGGTCCGAGACTCGCTTGAAGGCCTATCTTGACGCCCGTGGAGTACCCGTGCCTCAAGGTTCCAAGACCAATGAGCTTCGTGCCTTGGTCCGCAAGAACGCTCACAAGGCCGCCTCTGGCTGGTCCGCTTGGACCTTTGATGATCTTAGCTACGACAATCTTAAGGCGTATCTTGCCTCTAGTGGCAATGCCGCCGCGCAAAAGGCCAGCAACAAGGCGGGTGCCACTCGTGAGGACCTTGTCAAGGCAGCTCAGTCCGCTTATGCATCTGCCTCTTCGGCTGGCGGTTCTTCGTATGCCTCAGCGACAAGCTACCTGGCCAGCGCCACCGACAGCGTCAAGGCGGCTACGTTTGAAACCTGGAGCGAGAGCGAGCTCAAGTCGTACCTAGACAGCTACGGAATTGTGAGTTGTCCTTGCCACTTTGCTTTGACTGCACACTCGCTGACAAGAACCTAGCCCGTTCCTCAGGGATCTACCCTCAACGAACTCCGCGCCCTTGCTCGTCGCCAGTGCACGTACTTTAAGTACGGTACCTCCACGCCATCCGAGACTGTCTTTGCTAAGATCGGAGAGAACGTGAAGGGAGGCTGGGACTGGGTTATGAGCCAGCTCAACATTGGTGCCGACGCTGCTAAGAAGAAGGCTGAGCAAGCCAAGGAGAAGGGTCATAAGGAGCTCTAATCGAGCCCAGATCGGTAAGTGATTCGGGGGCGATACCAGAAGTGTAAGATGATTCGGCGGACGTATGGGGACGTGAGGATGTAGTCACCGAGGTTGACCATGATGAATCGGATCTTCGGTATTACTCCCCTGCAGCCCCATGATTAGTTCTACGGACAGGACGGCGTTGGGAATTTTCTCTTAGGTCGTCTGATAGCATAGTTATGTTTTGATACATGACCTCAACTTTTCGGCAATTTGCCATTGACTCAATCTTTTGGCCGATTCGAAATCAATTAGTGCTGTGAAATGTTTTCTGACTGCCTTGTAAACTTACTGTATTTGCTTTTGATCCACGATTTGACAGGCCATTGGGTTATGCTGTATATCGGATTGCAAGTCTTTAGCCCTGGGCGAACACACTATACCTTTGGAAGGAGAAGCACATCGGCAAGGAACTCTGCCTCGCGGCCGGAACTGAATTTACCACTCAACAAGATCGCCCAAAGGAAACATTACAGATTCTTTCAAAATTCCATCTACAGCAAGGTTATACAAGCTAGTACATTGCCATTTCTCAGCCACCTTTGCTTACTGGCTTTCTGTGTGTCAATGATCGCGTCCCTGCCGCTGTCCTGACCATCCATGTAACGCTAACCCTCCAGCAAGGCAACAGACAGGGGGAAGCTGAGGTGGCAGGCAAGCAGGCAAGTAGGCGGTTTTTGTATTCCGGGCCCCATCTGCAAGCTACCCGTGGCCTGGTCGCCTTATGGACCATGAAATGTAACTGCACATCGATACAAATGGCACACGGCCCGGGGGACCAACATGACATACCAAAAAGACCATGCTACCGAGGTACGACACTGTACGACACTGATCATGAATCGACACCAAAAAGAATTGAATTCTACAGATAGCCTGAATCAAACAGGCGTCGTATTAGAGGTTGTCGACAACCACAATGAGATATACTAACCACTATACTATACCTACGTCTCTTTAGATGGGTTGGGGGACTCTATTGCGGGTTCAAGTGTGGGCGTTGTGGGTTGCGTGGCTAGCTTAGAGTGGCCGTGGAGTCGATTAATTGCAATGCCTCCATTGTATGGATACAACTGAGTGAGTACAAGTTCAAGTTTAGATTCTGGGTCTCATACCGTCAAAGTTGCTCCACTTGCTGTGAACGGCAGACAAGACATTGCAGACATCCCACTGGATTCCAAGAGAACACAACAAGCTTGGAATTTCAAACCCACCCCCCTCCCGCCTCCGACAATCAGCTACACCCGTCACATCATCGGCTCAAACCAAGCCAAGAGGCACAGCAAACATGATATCAACAGGCTTGGCGCCCAAGCGCACCCTCACCTGATATTGCACCCCGGGCCCCCCCGACTCACCTAGAACGCCGCTGCCTGGCGCCCGTTGCAGATTGCAGCAGCCCGACTGCCTGACCTCGGCACCTTGGAGGTCGGTAGACCAGCGATCCGTCACAAATTATGCAAAGAGAAAAGGACCTCACATGGCCTTCCGGCCGCACCCCAGGCAAAAACACAAAGTCCGTACATGAAGCTAGCCAATCAGGACCGAAGCCGCTGCCCCAACACTTATCCCACACATACACCACCACAAGGGGGAAAGGGGGGGGAGCGAGGGGGTGGGTACGCGGGGGAGAGAAAGCCATGACAAAAAGTCTCGACAGCAAAAACGGATCAAGGCACTGCAACTCGGGCCGGTGGCCCAGTCCATCACTCGTGGTGTGCGTTGGCGGAACTCCACGGGATGCGGAGCGGGACTCGGTGTGATTGTTGGCAGACGAACGGGTGATGTATGCTTCCAAGCGGCGCAGAGCCGCGTTGGGTATGGCCAGCCGCCATCGTCACCGGAATACAGAGTCGTGAATGGACGGGTGGGGGCGATCGGGATGGACCCAAGATTTCGGCTTGTTTGGTTCCCGTGGGGAGAAATCAATATCTGCGAGCGAGAGGGGGTGATGCCGCAGCTGCCTGGTGTCAAGAGCACACGCGTATGGCTGTTACTGGACGGTGTACGGATACTCCTCTGTGGCACAAACCCGTCAACGGTTTGACTAGAATGCGCGTTGGCGCCGAACGGCCTGCTAGGCCTTTCCGCTTTCGGTTTATCGGGCCACCGTCCTTCCTCGAGGGAGTCAGTAATAAACGCCAGGCGGCTCAGGCCTGGCAGCTCGCATTCTGTTGTCTAGTGTGCCTCGCCGTGGGTAAGGTGGCTTCCAGAAGGATGACACGACGTGGCACTATATTCTGAAGGAATACTGCCAAGGCGCGCAGATGACAGCCGCCGTATGGATCTATAATTTGTGGGTAGTTCTTTCGCTTGCTGCTTGCGCCGCCCGGGCTGATTTGGGATGTTATTATTTTACAGTTATCTCGCTGGATGATTTCGACTCATCATATTTCGGGTCGTATTTGGGTCGAGGGAGGGTGTTTCTGTTGAGATCTAAGTTGAACCGGTTCGTTGGCGCCGGATGAATTGATCCTGGGAAGAGGCGGTGGTGTTGATTAGAGGGAAATGTTGCATAAATGGTTGTCAGTCAAATGATTCCTGCCGCACTGTCAGTTTCTTTGCCATGAATTACTTAGGATTACCTTTGCGGCGTTGTAAGTTGGGCTGTTGTGGACATTTCGGATGTTGGCTGAGTAGGTCTCTGTCAATTAGTTTCAATGACTTTCCTCGTAAACTGGGCCGAGAGATGGTTGCGAGCCGAGTCGAGAGAAACAGAGATTGGAGCCGAGGAGACTCGGATCTAAAAGTTTTCGGTCACTCTCCCAAGCCAGTACGGTAAGCAGCCACGGCCATCGTCACAGTCTAAGCACCCCAAAAACACAAACAAGAGAACCTCACCGGGGCGCATTAGGGAGTGCAAAGATGGTATTAGGCTGAGGGTCGTCCTGTCAGATCCTCTTCGAGTTGCTGTGATCGGTGAATAGCCTGCGAGGCCATTTGGTGGGAAATTGGGCTACCATGGGCCCCATCAAAGCGATTCCGAGCTGCTCAACGGAGGCTGGTGGCTCGCGCTAAGCCGTCGCCTGTATTTCTCGCATTCAACCTCGACCGAGATCGCGCGGATGCGTAAATCTGACGGTCGATATGACTGTGTGTGCTGCCCAGGAACATGATCAAACGTTAGATGGCCATCTCGACAGCTGGACTCTCAAGCTCAACCAGAGATCTGTAGCCATAGCATCTAGGTACGCTTTTATTCCATGAGGGGGTCGCGGTAGGGGTTGATGGGTGCCTCGAGGTAACTTTGAAGAACTGTGGCGTGGCGGAAACCGACCTTGAACAGCCATGATCTCGTGGTCTGGCCTGCGGCACAGGACTGTGCTCCTCCTGAGGATAATATACCCCGACGGCGCACTGTACTACCTTCGTGGCAATTTTTGCGAGTCTCACAGCAAATAGGGACAGCGCTCCAGTACGCCACCTACCGCCTTAAAGCCGGAGGCTCCGGCAAGGACAGTTGAGAGATTTAAGAGCTGTGCATGGCCGGCGTCGTGGGGACATGATTCGCTTGATGCCGATTTCTTGGCAATCCTTGTCCGACCTCGCTCCGCAAGGATCTTTTGTTGCTCGGGTCGTTGGGCCGATGCGGACGAGGGCACAGGGACCTCGCAGCGGAGATGACGGTGGAGCTCTGGCTGCCGCTTTTACCCCATCCTCCTTATTTAACCTCATGGCGATCTCCCGCGCTCGTTGTCGGCGCTTGATCCGTGTAGATGATCTGATAAAGCAAGGGTCGTGAGTAGTCGCTCGGCAGTAGCATGATTTCAAAGTCTTCAGGGTCGGGGTGTGCCTTGGACGAGCTGGGTGTGATGTGGAGGGAATCGAGACAAGCTTGGCACTTACACTTTGAGGGTCAGTCGTGCTAAAGGGTTGGTCGGAGCTGTTGGGTGTCGGGCTTGGGCACACCGAGATACTTGAAACGGAAGTGTCAGTGATGTGACGCCCCAGCCACACACGCAGGGAGAGGGAGAGGCAGCACCAACCGCCCAGTGTTGCGTTGCCAGTCCTTGGCAGTGGAGCCCCCGGGGCTGATTGAAGATATGGAAGGAATGTTTGGAGTCAATTATATAGCCGTTGGTGCTATTGTCGGTCGCGCCGCTAGCTACCCAAGACAAGAAACGTGGTCTTAGGCTTGGAGTAGCTTCCTCAATCGGGAGCCCCGAGGACAAAGGTGGCAGGAAGGGGGGGGGGAGGAGGAAGATCAAGGCGAACAAGGCACATTCCACTAGCCTAGACGCATCACAAAGATGTGCGCCATGGCATCCACAGTGGACGCAGTAGTGTCGACACCATCTTGACCATGACCAAAATTTGACGGGGTTCAGCTGCCCTTTTCAGAGGTGAGGCCTGTCGTTGGTGCGGCGGATGGAATTAACGATCAGCCAGGCGCTGCGGGTTGCAGGTGACTGCTTATGGCCCATGGCCCGACACACGGCGGCCGCTCGTGGGTTGTGGGTCGTGGGTTTGGGTTTGGGGTTGTGGGTTCGTGGGCCTAATCTCGCGGGTTCATGAGACGGTGGGCGGCAACGGGCCCACGGCTCACGGCGCAGCCCGCGCGCGATGGTCCGGGAAGAACCACGTCTTGTGTCGGTCCGATGTTGTGATGCTGGAGAGGCTCAGTGACGACCACCCGTGTGTCCGTGTGTCCGTGTGTCCGTGTGCGCGTGTGCTTGTGGTCCAGAGACGGTGGGGGAGACAGAGGGGGAAGACGAAGCGCTCCAGATGGCCAAGTTGGGTAGCAAGAAGTTGTGCCCTGCTGTGCCCTCGTATGCCCATTCTGGCACATTGCGCTGTTCGTTGGCGCCCTTGTGTCCAGCCGAGGAGGCGGAGGAGCGGCGGTTGCGTCATGGCCGCCGTCGCTGGGTTGCGGGAGTCGTGTGCAAGGTGACCAGGTGTCCGGGCATGCTCAATTGCCATGGCACCCGTTGCACCGTTTGGCAGGTTCCAGGTTTGGCGGTATGGCGGTATGCTATGTGGATGTGTCTTTGTTGGGGGGGCCTTATTAAGAGGACGCTGGGGCGGGCCGCATTTTAGACGAAAAAAGAAACGGATGATGATGTTGCTGGCGGCCGAGCGCTGTCGCTGGCTGGAGGCTGCTGCTCGCTTTTCTTGGCAGCATGGCAGCACGGCAGTAGGTCGGGCGGCACTAAGGAGCGAGCGATTTGCACCCTTCCGATCGGGCCCTGGTCCAAGGTGTCGCATGTCCAGGTGACTTTTTAGCACCGTTTCGCGCGTGGCCGCGTGCCAGCTCACGCTCAGCGCCTGATGGCCAGATGGAAAGAGCAGAAGCCAGGGCCGACCGAACGCACGGGACCGTGTACGCCTACCAACAGCCTTTGGGATGCTACGAACAGGGCCCAGCCCGGCTAACCCCCAGCAGGGACCGTCGTAACTCGTACCTTGCACCCCGCTGCTGGCCGGCAGGGACAGGCCGGCGCGCCGCGGCTTTGACGCTGGTTGGACAGGCCGTCCCCAGTCCTTGGAAGTCCCAGTTAGAAAAGTCCCGTGCATCCCCGTCCCTCATAATCCATGGCAGGTGCGCTCGTCCTCTGCCAGTTCTCAGTTCTCCATCTCCGTCCCGCTTCGGAATTGCAACAACACGGTCCAGTGCTGGCTGTTACTGTCGCGAGCTGCCGCAGGTTCAGGGAAGCGCTGCCAAGTCCAAGGTCTGGCGGCAGGCTTCCACGGTCAACAAGATCTTCTGTGTCTTCTGTGTCTTCTGTGCTGCTCTTCTATTATGTGCCAAGTTCCATCCAATGCCGTGCCCGACTGGGTGCCTGGGTGCGCCTGCCGTTATCGCGAGCCTCAGCGCCGAAACCGGGAAAGTTGCCTCGCTGGAATCACACCTGCCCAGTCAGTTGACAGCGGAGAAGCAGCGCTCCACTGTTAGCGGCCCCTCGCCGCCTGTGCCCTGCCAGTGCCTGCTGGCCACTGTTCGTCCTCCATTGTACCTTGGCCGACGGAAGCTCTATCCGAGGCTTATCTCACCACACAACCAGCGACGGCACACCAAACGCACGCCAAAACGCATACCAAAAAGCCGTAGGCTCACGGGCTCGCAGCTCGCTCTTCTTTCGACCCTTCAATGCAGGGACCCTGTGTCGAGCCAGGCCTCCCACACAGACCAATGGCACAACCCCGCAAGTATCCGCGACCCACGACGACGGATAGGTTGCGAGGCCTGCAGCACACCTGCGACTGCTCACTCTAGCGCCTCTCTGGGGCACAGAGGGGAAGGGAATGCGAAATACATGCGCTGCCCATGCTGCCCATGCTGCCCATGCTCCCTACTGCCCATACCCCTACCCCCCCGGCCCCCTCGACACCCTGGACACTCTGGACACCCTGGACACACCCTGGACACCCTGGACGCCCTTGCATGGCGATGGCGGCGGGCAAAACAGGGCCAAACGGCCCTTCTGGGAGTTCTCACTACATGGCCATGGTGGGATGGATCCACGCGTGCTCTGCAAGAATCTGAGAACTGATCCAGTCTCCCTCCTTGCTGTCCCCCATCGGTCCCATCGGTCCCATCTGTCCGCCGGTTGCCGTGTGGCGTTGTTTCGAGCGGCTGTCATCATGGAACCGATTTAAAGCTTCGGGAGCCTCCCGCACTGCGACTCTCTCAGCTACATAGTGTTACATTCCCCTGGCACGCAGCGAACACCCGACGTCCATACTTATACCCAGACCGCCGGCGCACAACGCAACCTCGGGAGCCCCTTTTTGCATCGCCCTGTGTTCTGAAGACCGAGACTCATAAGCCTGCCCACAATTGTGCTCATACTTGCCCTCATACTATCAGCTTGCTCATCAGCCTGCTCGAGAGCTCACGAGCCCAAGAGCCCACCATGGCCGACTACTACATGCCGCGTCCGGCTCAGCACCGGTCCCAAGAGTCGTCCATGTACCGCCCGACCAAGGCCGAGGACTGGGAGCCCTACCGCGACATCATTGCCCAACTCTACACCACCATGAAGCTCAAGGATGTCATGTTGGAAATGCAGATGATCCACCACTTCAAAGCGACGTGAGTGCTCCCCCCTGACAGCAGGCCCCCTAGTATCCCGGCATCGACTGAAACCCGCGAACCCCCCAAAGTGAGAAGCAATACAAGACGCAGCTCAAGAAGTGGAATCTCGACACAAAGTACATCAAGGCGTCCGAGTACATGGCCATGATCAAGACGAAGCGGCAGCGGGAGAGCGAGAACCCGCCCAAACAGACGCGCTTCACCCTCCGCGGGCGCACCGTCGACCCCAAGGACATCACGCGGTTCGAGAAGCGGGCGCTCAAGAAGGGCATGATCAAACCCGAGGACCAGCTGTATGATCAGGGTGAGTAATCACCGGAGCTAACGGCACTTTGAAGTTTGCCGGGGTCAGAGTCCCCAATTGTTTTGACTAACACCCCTGGAAAGAACCGATCGAGGACTTGAAATTCGACACGCCGTCGCCTGAACCGTCGCACTATCATTCGTGTGAGACATCGCCAGAAGTCCCGCCCCTCCCCACAAGCACGCTAACAAGCCCGCATTCACCGCAAGCAGACGTCCAACCCTCCGCCCAGTATACGTACTGAGCCCGCCGGGGAGGGCGTACTATGATGTCGTTCGGGACGATGTCATTACGCCGACCTAGACGACTCAGGACTAGGTCGGGCAGCCCAACCCGCGGAGCGAAACCAGAGCGGCAGAACCATAGGTCCGAATACTAATTTGGGGGGACCTCGGGCGCTGATTCTTACTAATATCGAAACCCAGGAGACACAGAATACGTGAACCTATAGAGACGGAGGTTATTTTTTCAGAATTGCAAGCGATAATGACGACATGAACTGGCACAGGTTAGCATATTAAAACTGGGAACGCGGGATTGGGACTCGGCCTCGGATTTAGGCTTGGGCTTTGGAAAAGGGGACTTGGAACTGGCGTTGGATACCAATATGTACCAATGGGCATTGTGCATTTTGACAGGATTTGGGAGGGGGGGGGGGGGACAAGGCATTGGTTGTTATTTTTACTTTTCTTTTGGATTTTGGATTTTCTTTCTCTCGGGAACACGGCGGGCTCGGACTGGGTGCTGGGAGGCCAAGTTGGTCAGATTCAACAAATCATTCATTTCGCTACTTGTACTACGCAGGGTGCTTTTAGGAGCAGAGTCCGGTCAGGAACCATTGGCTGGACATTGGAATTCAAAGTGCATTTATTACCCTCACGACAGACTGAGACTGCGCCAAGACGGAAAACAGGTGAGTGACGCTGTCACATCTCCCGTTCCCGCAACTCTGAGCTCTCCAGTTTTGAAGCCCCATGAGGGGGCATGGATGCATCTCTTAAACGACTGCCTAAGTCAACGATGAACCCAACCTGCATCGATGCTGCAAGCCTCAGACAGAAAGGCAACCCCCCTGATCGATGGCCCGGGAGTCCTAGGAGAGTTAGGCAGCCAGATTCCAGCCCCCACGTAGAAGTTCAATTGTCTCTCCACTTTGCTACATGCAGCGGAGAGCGGCCTCACTCTCCATCTCAAGTACCAATGCGCCGGGTGGTGCAGCGGTACGAAGCGCCTTCTACAGCGTTGTGCAACCACAAAATTTCTACAGCAAACGGTCAACGTTTGCCGAGTCTTCCGTAGTATAGTGGTCAGTATATGAGCTTGTCATGTCGTCTTTCCTTGTAAGAGGAAGACATGGACATCGCTCGGGACCCGGGTTCAATTCCCGGCGGGAGAGACTTCGAAGGGGGGTATCTTCTTTTTTGGGAGTGTTGGATTTTGGGCTCTCTTTCGGGGGAGCGAACTTCTCATTAGGTAGGGACCCCTGTTCGCAAAGGGCCCGCGATGGCGAGGTACCCACCCTACACTACACAACGTATTATGTCGGATCGGGGCAGAAGTCTAGAACCTCGACGTCACATCGCCCTTAGGTAATATTATCCCCAACTCGCTTAGCCCCCTTCACGCTGTGCTACCGCTCGTAGTAAGGGAGCTGTACCCGCTAACATCCCTTTTTTTGCCACTACGTTTTCCCCGTTACATCATGCTCGTCACTCACAGCCGAGGTACGACTTGGACCGCAATTTACTAAGCTACCTTACCCGACTACCTTACTAGCAAACCCCCTCTTTTCGGCGTGCTGGATACCACCTCGCCTTATCTTAACTCAGCACTGTTGCCTATCCCCTATCGGCCCGGTTGAATGTGCTGCCCCGGCGCCGGGCAAGGGTTACGGCACCCATGTGCCGGGACGGGTCGGCGGAGGTGGCGAGTTCGGCATGGAGCGGTTCGGTACTGAATTCGTATCTAGGATTTTTTTGGCTTTTTCGGGCCTTATCATGCTGGGTTGGAAACGGAGCTGGTGAACCGTTTTTGGTATAAATCTCGATCTTCGGCTATTAGGTTGCCGATATGGGGTTGAATACGCCGACAGAGGTTAGTATGCTGGCAACAAGTGTGTAAATCCGTTAGTATCCGCTTGGCACGCATTCGGGCAAAGCCCGTTCCTGGTTTTGTTGCTGGGGAGTGGAGAGGGTTGCGGAGTTATCGAGGGGAATCAACGGCGGAGATCGGAGGGTTGATACGGGCCGGGGCCGTGCTGCCTGTCCCTGTCCGGTGAGGTATTGGTGGTTGCCAGCAGCGGGACGAGGACTAATTAGGACATTACTGAATCCTTGGTCATCGTTGTGTTTTTATTAGCAGATTTCCAGTGCCTATTGTAATTACTCATGCCGGCAAGTTGATCTTGAAATCAGTGTGGCGGTTTCAACAGCACAACGATAAGGTCAAGTCAATCGTTGATTTTCAGCCCATGTCTTATCGCCCGAGCAAGTTTACACTGGAACACGTCAGGATGTCACAAACTTGCTCAAATACTCCTGGAATTTCAAACTCCGTCACATCAATTTGGTACATCACCCTCACACCTCAAAAACCGCGAAACATAAACCCAAATAACCATTGTAGTTGAGATCCATCTACCACCCTACCCAACCCCCCTCTCCTCAGACAAAACCCCCAGTCCCTAGCTATGAATGCGCTCATGCACCAGCCGCCCCTTGACCCAGACCTTCTTGGTATTCCGGTCATCCCCGTTGTACACCCACTTGGCCACGCGGTCCGGCCAGCTCTCCCAGCCAAAGACATCCACATTCCCATCCTCCTCGGTCCCCTCCCGGACCCCCTCGACCTCGCCGTCGGCATCGACGGTCCCCAGCCCGACGAGCTGCGCGTCCCAATCCATGCCGACCGCGAACCCGCCCACCTCGCTCTGCAAGCCCACCGCCTCGGCCCCGCCCCGGGTCGCCAAAAACAGCACCTCCTCGACCGTCAGCTTGGCCCGCTCGTCGCCGCCCATGGCCACGTGGCGGCTGACGAGGGCGGCGAGCCGGGCGGCCTCGAGCACGCTGGGGCTGTAGCCGCCGCTCATGTCGGTGCCGAGGCCGCAGCAGACGCCCTTGTCGAGCAGCCAGCGGACGCGGGCGGCGCCGCTGGTGATGGCGCTGTTGCTGCAGGGGCAGTGCGAGACCTTGGCGCCGCGGGCGGCGATGAGGTCGGCCTCGGCGTCGCTGAGGTGGACGGCGTGCGCGAGGATGGTGCGGTCCGTGAGCAGGCCGAAGGCGTCGTATACCGACGTGTACGAGCCGTCGGCGGCGCCCGTGGCCGACGGCGGGAACAGCTCGTGCACGAGCGCGATCTCGTTCTTGTTCTCGCTGATGTGCGTCTGGATCGGCAGGTCCGGCCGCTCGGCCGCCAGGGCGCCCAGCCCGCGCATCAGCGGGCCCGAGCACGAGGGCGCGAACCGCGGCGTCAGACACGGCCGCACCAGCTTCATGCCCGGGTCGACCGACTCGATGTAGGCGATGCTGGCGCGTGTGGCGGCGAGCGCGGCGGCGGGGCTCTCGTCGCGGTAGTAGGCCGGTGAGAGCTGGTCCATGCACACGCGGCCGACCAGGGCGCGCTGGCCGGCGGCCAGACACAGGTCGGCGAGCAGGTTGGTCGAGGCGACGTCGACGGTGGCGTAGTACGCGGCGCAGGTGGTGCCGTGCGACAGCGTCTTGCGGATCACGCGGCTGTACACCTTGCGGGCCTTGGCAGGGTCCGAGAGGGACGCTTCCAGCGGGAAGGTGTACGTGTTGAGCCAGTCGAGGAGGGTCGAGTTGCCAAAGATGCCCACGTTGGGATACTGCGAGGCGTGCAGATGGGTGTCTGGCTGCGTGTGAGGGACAATGTCTTAATCAAACACATGGGCCAACTCACCAATGAACCCCGGAAAGAAAAACTGGCCGTCCTTTGCCTTGACGACATCCACATCGGCCTCGGCCCAGCCCAGCCTGGGAAGCAGCGCCTCGACGGCCTTGGCGACATCGCCGACGCCCTGCTCGATGGCCACAATCCTGCCGGCAACATCGACGCCAACGGCCGTGTCGTGGAGGTACTCGAGCTCGTTGAGCGTCTTGCTGTGTACAAATGAGCCCCAAAAGACCTTGTTCTTTGCCGGTGCCCCCATGTTGTAAGTGTGTTATCACGGGTTGCCGGTCGTGTGTCGCCGTCCCGGCCACTCAGTAAGTCGGGATGGGGGTCTTCGCGCGCGGGGGGCTGGATGTGCGTGGAGTGCATCTATGACAAAATGTGTCCAGTATTGATGCTGTGGCTGCCAACTTGAAGTAAACACAATGTGAATTCGATGGTCTGCTAATAAATAAGTGCGGAGAGGGTGACGTGGAGCAGGTGGCTTTATCTACGTTGCCCAGATGCTGCTAGCTTGCTGGTGCTTGCTTTTAGCGCGCCTAGCTGTCAAGGGAAGCTTGCTTGCATCCAATGTGGACTGCGACTGCGGCTGCGACTGTGGGCGTGTGCCGCCGAGTGGGTCCTCGCGGCCAGCGCCGGCACCCGCCGGGGTGCGCAAGGGACGGCACGGGCAGCTGCCCGATGGCCCCCTTCAGCCACTGCCCTCCTTCCCACTTCCCAAATCCCGCGCCGCCTGCTCAGTGTAGCCCATGATTGGCTCCCAACAGCTGATACACTGCGTGCATGTTCCAGGCGAGGCTAAGAAAACACATCACAGCCCGGATTGGCCTGCTTCTCCCAGAATCCGAATCTCCTATCTGCCGCATCTTGAGCGCATTGATAAGGGAACGCCGACCTCCGTTTGCACTGCACGTTGCCTTGTTTACACGACGTCACCCTGTCCAATTGTAACAAACAGTAACACAAAACTCTAAGATGCTGCTTCTACCCTACATACCTACTTGGCCGCTCTATACGGATCCCTCAAGTATCGCCTCTTCTCTAAACATCATGTACACCGCGCACCTATCCCAACTATTAAAACATGTCTAAAACATCATCGTCTCACAACTGAGCCGTCGCAATCGCCGCAGCATGGCTGTCCGTGTACGAAATCGACACGCTCACGTTCTTGATCCCCGCCTTCTTGGCCGCCGCCATCGCATTTCCGTGAAGCTGTGCCAGTTAGCACATGTAGCAGACAAACAAATTATCAGGGGGGTCGGGTAACTAACCTTGACAGTGGGGCTGCCATTCTTGTCAGACAAGATCTCAATGTCCTTCAACGCCGCGCCAGCTCCCTTGCTCTGCACGCCCAGCGACTTGAAGACGGCCTCCTTGGCGCTCCATCTGCCCGCAAACGACTTTTGCGGTGACCGCCCCGTGCCCGACGCCATGCAGTACTTCAGCTCACCCTCGGTGAAGTTGCGCTCGAGAAAACTATCGTTGTCTGTGTTGATCGACACAATCTCCTCCACGTCGAACCCTACCCGCGTGTTCATGCTCTCTAGCTTCCGCGCTTCCCGGCTCAGCACCGACACCAGCGTCTCCTTGTTCTGTGACGGCGTTCCGTTCTTCTCCGAGAGCTTCATGAAGTTGGTCGGGAACGTCAGCGCTCCCGTCTTCTTGTCCTCTGTCACACGGGCATCCGGGTTCAGGAGCACCGAGCTGAGCTGCTCATCCGTATACGGCGAGTGATCCTTGGCCACGAATAGCGTGTTGTTGATCAGGCCGTTGTGGAAGAACCGGTACGCCTTCTTTTGCCGAGCCTCGACCTTGGTGCGATATGCGTTGAACATCTGCTCGTCGAGCGTCGCGTACAGGTACTTGGGGTGCACACCAATAGCTTGGGCACCCTTCTGGCCGAAACCGAAAGAAGTGACCGAGAAGGCCTTGACACCATCCGTCTGGATGGCGTGACTTGGGTAGACAATGTAGTCATACTGTTCCATGATCTGATCGACGTTGTCCGCATTGCGGTTACCCGGCACGAGACCCGTGTTGAGCACCTGCAAGCAGCCGTTCATCATCCATGCACCGGCAGCACCCTTGGGATGGCCCGTCAGGTACTTCTGGAAGATGCCAAGCACGGCGTTGCCCTTCTTGCGGCCGAGATGGGCCATTTGTTGGCAAATGACCGATGACTCGTTCTTGTCGTTGGCCTTGGTCGATGTTCCGTGGAAGGATGCGACGTCCAGGTCGTCAACAGTAAGGCCCCATGTGGCGAGCGCACCGCGCAGGGGAGCGATACTGGGGTCGCTCTTCCAGAAGTTGTTGCCGAAGCTGCGGAGGATCTCCTTGGCTTGCCTCTCAGCCTCCTTCTCCGTGTGCCTCACACGATCAGCGATGTACTCCGCAATCTCGGCCTGCGACCGACCATCAGACTTGAGCGCATCAGCCTCGCTGGCAAGGTACTGGAGCTCGGCCTCCTTGTCCTCCTGGATCTGC